TGTTCAAAATGCCCATGTTGTTGGAATATGAAGCGATTGCCGAGTGAATTCAAACAATTATTGCATAAACAGGTGAGTGGGTGTTACATATGTAGGTACATACTTATGTATGGATATATGTACATTTTATCTAAACTAGTAGACCCGCATGGCGGCAAAATCCCCAAATTTTAATTTCAAAAACCTTAAAACTATTCCAAATGTTAGTCAGAGCGTGCAGCCGTTTATGAATGAAGGCATGTCTCGCATAGTGAGGTTTATATATCATTAAATTTCAAACAACATCGCATATCTACAGGTCAACGTATTTAATTTGAACTTTAATATTTTGAAATTCGAAAGAACGGCGCAAATCTAATGACCTTTACAAAAAAAAGGTGGGAAGCCTTTACGAAAGTTCCTAAATCTGTCTGACATTGTGTAACACATTTTAATTAACTTATGAATTAAAAGAAATTTGATTTTTTAAACATGTGGCCACCCTCCTAATATATATTTCAGAAATAAAATCATTTCAAACCGTTTAGATTCATATTCTTATATTTGACATAATTCATTTAGCTTCTTAAATAAGCTAAACTTAATTTATTAAGCAGGTGGCAACCATCTCCAATCGCCGCAAAAAATCTTAGGGCCGCTTGTTCAATGTTGGTTATCACTACTTGCCGGTTAAACATCATTATTGACGTTTTCGACATCATGCATACAACATGTGATCGATACAGCAGTCGTATTTAACCGGAGCTTCTACCTCCGATTTGTGCTAATCAGACATTGAACAACCGGCCCTTAGTGTTCACACTAAAGATATCTTAACACTCTTTCGTTTGACAACCATATTTCGATATTTCATATAACTTGTGTATAAGATAACTAAATTCGAGATTTCAAAAGTTGGCAACCCTATTAAAAGTATTTTCAAATTAAAATCTTCTTCTACCTCTTTCGTCAGACACCAAAATTGTGATACATATTTCTATTACCTAATTTCGCCTTCTCAAACAGGTGGCAAAAAGAATTTTCAAGCTAAAACTTCTTTGAATATCCTTCGTCTGACATAATGAATCAAGTTGAATTCAAATTTTTAAACACGTGGCAAATCTCCTGAATACATTTGAGGAAGAACTCCATTGCGAACCCATTGCAAATTGCAAAACCCAAGCGAATCTTTTAATAATTAATTTAACTTATTAAATAATTTGAATCTAACTTCTTCTCCAGGTGGCACCACTATTCAAATATCTTAAAAGTTATCTTAGTGTTCAGAGTAAAAATATCTTACCAATCTTTCGTTTGCAATATTTTAATATTTCATTGTATATAAGTTAACTAAGTTCGACTTTTCAAACAAGTGGCAACTCTTTTAAAAATATTTAAGTACAAACTATTACCTTCTTATACTCCTTTCGTCTGGCGCCCGAAAGGTGATACATATTTCTAAAACCTAATTCCTTTAATTCAAATTGAATTTTGATTTTAAAAAGGTGGCAAACCTTTTACATGTAGATAACAAATAAAGCCTTTTCCAAACCCTTTAGATTGATGCCCATATTGTAATAATTCATTTAAATTTTTCAATAATTTTTTTAAAAATGGTGGTACTTAACTATTCTCGAAAAAGTGAAGCTTACTGTACATCTACTGACCAATCCCTTTAATTTTACAACTCATTTTTGAAAATCGAACAAAGGGTGCGTATGTGATGGCATTGATTATTAAATGATTTTAATTAAATTTTTTAAGGGGTGACACCTGTTTTCGAAAAAAATAAAGCCTTATTGCACATCTACAGGTCAAGTCTTTTAATTTGACATCTCATTTTTGAAATTCCAAGGAACGGCGCAAGTCTGATGACCCGGACAAAAAATTGCTTCGAGTATTATATATGTACTAGTGAACCCGTATGGCGTTAAAATGCCTAAAATTGAGTTCCAAAACACTAAAAACTATTCCAAATGATAGTCAGAGTCATAAGCGATTCGAGTGTCCCATTTAAAAATTAAAACCTTATCGCAAATCTAAAGGCCAATGTCTTTAATTTTCCTTCTGACTTTTGCAAATCGAAAGAACGGTGCAAATCTAATGAATTTCACAAAAAATTCCTTCTCGTATACCTAATCAAAGAAATTTTCAAATTAAGGGCCGGTTGTTCAATGTCTGATTAGCACAAATCGGAGGTAGAAGCTCCGGTTAAGCACAACTACTGCTTTATCGATCACATGTTACATGCATGATGTCGAAATCGTCGATAGTGTAGTGGTAGTGATAACCAGACATACATACGTCTCTATCGACTGACGTACATATATTTTAATTAACTAATGATAAAGTTGAATTTGAGGGTTTGAAGATGTGGCACCCTCCTAAATATATTTCAGATATAAATCCTTTTCTAACCCATTCCGATTGACGCCCATATTTTAATAATTAAGTTTGTTTTCCTAACAGGTGTAAAAACCCGTTTTAAATATCACAAAAACATTCCTAATGTTCAAACTAAAGATTTCTTATCACTCTTTCGTTTGACATCAATATTTTAATATTTCAAATACTTTGCGTATAAATTAACTAAATTCGAAACTTCAAAGAGGTGGGAATCAAACTAAAACTTTCTACAATCTCTCTCGCTTGACACCTAGATTGTGTTACATATTCCAATTGAGTACCCAATTGCTTTAATTAAGTTGATTTTTTAAACAGGTGACCACCCGCCTACACTGAGAAAAGAGTTTAGTTACGTCAACTAAATATGTTTTTCTCAACACATGATTTAGTTATAGTCACATTATTTGGTTATAGTTACCAAATCATGTGTTGCTAGAAATATATTTGGCTGACTTTTTTCTGAGTGTATATATAAATTTTAGATATAAAGCCTTTAAAAACTCCTTAAAACTAATACCCAGCTTTTAACAATTCATCCAACTTGTTAAATAATTCGAATATCACTTTCAAATATATCTCAACGCTCTTCCACTTGAAACCCGTATTTTCATATTTCCAATAACTTGCATATAAGTTAACTAAATTCAACTCTTCAAAGTGAGGCCAACCCTCTTCAGGATATTTAAAAGCTATTACCTTCGCATACTCCTTTCACCTGGTGCCCATATGGTGGTATGCATATATTTCTATTACGTAATTCCCTTAATTCAAATTGAATTTGATTTTTTAAACCGGTGGCAACCCTCATACACTAAAGTTAAGAAACAAAGTTTTTCAAACGATTGATACCCATTTTGAAATAATTGGTTTCACTTTTTAAATAATTTTAATTAAAGTTTCTTTAAAGGTGGCAACTTTTTTCTCGAAAAAGTAAAACTTTATTGCCCAAACTCATTAATTTGACAGCTCACTTTAGAAAATCGACCTAACGGTGCAGATCTGATGGCATTAAGTAATTATTAAATAATTTCAGAGTGATTGTTTAACAGTTGGCATCTCTTTTATTTAGAAAGAGTAAAACCGTATTGCACATTTACAACCCAAACTCTTTCAATTGATACCTCATTTTTGAAAATCGAACAATCCTTGCAGATCTGGACAAAAAATCCCTTCGCGTATTATACTTATAAGATAAGATGAGATGACCATTCTATTCATTGTGTATTAACTCCCTAGCTTAAACATCTTAATATATATGTACACCCCGCGACAAACGATAGCACATCAACATAAGTAGTTACCAGTTTTGAGTACTTTTGATTTTTATATATAAATATTAGCTCTTTATCTAACAAATACCATATAAATCTAAATTTCAGACTTTGCTAAAAAATTATAAAAATTCCACAAACTTTCATCCCAAGTCCACGCATTTTAATATTTTTCTGACGGTGTTATGCACTCTTTCCAAATAAAAATTACTTTGTATGGAAGAAAATGCGTGGTACTGCCGCTGTGTTTAGGTCTAAAAATTACTAGCTTGCTTAGAAATTATTTCTTTTCATATAACTTTTCATGTAGTTTCTTTAGATTCCCTATCCAAGCTTTTTCAATGAAATTTTGTAATAGTTTGTTGTTGGTTCCTGTTTGAGAAATAAGATACTATTGGGCCCGAAACAAGATATTAATGGGCCCGATATGTATTGCTTTATGCATTTGGCATTCCCAAATAGGCAGGCGAAAATTAATTTTAATATTTCTATCGTTGCGGCAGCGTGTATTTTTCTTTTATATCTTAATACTTACATATCGTCGTTGAAAGTACAAAACCGCGTATCGTCATTCTGAAAACCCGCGTACCTGACATTTGCTGCCAAAAATTGGATTTGCTCACACAAGCTCTTGGCTCAATCCTTATCTATTCGTCCTGAAATATAGTAGCCAGAAATGCGATTGCTTTATAAAAAAGATAACCATTTTGAAATATGAGTGTTTTTACTCTCTGGAATTTTGTAACCCCACATACGCGGTTTTGCATTTTGTTGATACGCGGTTTTATACTTTAAACGACGATATGTAAAAGCCAAAAAAATGTTTTAAGCCATGTTGCTGTAAATAATGTAACGATTCTCTTTAAATTAGTCGTTGTTGTTGTAGCTGCTACTGAACCTCTCGAGTCGGCTCATTCGTCAATGTTTTCGTCAGGCTCAGCCAAGGGGAGGCCCAGGAAGTGCGAAACTTCCGCAGGGTCCGTCCTTAGGGACCGGGGCGTTAGCTGGGTGGGGTTTTGGGGGATGCGAAGAGGTGCCGTGAGTTATGTGGCGATTCTCCGCATGCCAATCACTCGTTGGGCACATCTTAATTCACTCTGTTCAGGTACGAGTTTAACCTGCTGCAATATCCAGAGTGAAATTGGGCTATTGTGGGGCGAGTCTCCCGGGGCAGAGAAAGTTCCGTCCCGTCCACGTCGGTAGGTTGTGTACCCAAAACGGCATTCACAAATCGAGAGTCTATGTAACTAAAGACCGATTCCCAATAAATGCCGTTTAAGGCATGTCGCTAGGCAGTTGGGTCCATAGATTGTTTTATGAACCTATGGATTTCGTAAAGATGCCCTCTGAAGTGCCTTGGCGAAGGCTCTTCTAAAAGCAGTGTCAGTTTGAATTAGTCCTTCAGGTTGATTCCACTGGATTGTTAAATAAACGCTCAAGTTACAGTACAACTATTATGTAAAACAAACACTTTACAATACTTGTTAAGGCAATTCTGTATTTACAAAAGCAATTCTGTATTTACAATACTTGCTAACGCAATTGATCTCTGTACTCGTAGCTTTCTGTTTTACAACTAAACTCGCATCTCGATCTTCCGTCGATGTCAACTTTCTCTCTGCCGACCACAACCTTTTCCTGGGTACTTCGGAACGCGCCCACTGCTGCCGCCATTTTCGCACACCGACGTATCACCATTGAAACGTGGTTCACTGGCTCTTTGCCGAGACCACTGCCTGTTAAACATCTAATGGGCTTACCATGACCTCATCCTCGTGGTGACCTTTCAATGAGTTGGAGACCGTGCCGCTTTTCCTGTATCGCTGAACCGCTTCCTTTTCCTATCAAAATGACTCCATATCCATCGCTGCTTACCTCTGCCTAACTAACCGCTTCCGTTGCTGCTGGAATCTTCGGGCCTTCTTCTAAGAGCAACCATCTGCTGCAGTACTAGTTGTCGTAACAGGCCTTAAGTGGCACTTCCCTGTCGCGATATGTCAGAATAATTCCCTGAAGGTCAATCTTCATGCCTTGGCCAAGTAGAAAGTCCACGCCGATCACGACATCATCCACAATGCCTGCCACTATACACTTGTGTTACGAGGCCTCATCCCCGATTATTACCTCGCATGGTACTTTTCCTAACACTTGGTTGCGCTCACCAGTTTCAGTCTGGAAATTTGCCCCAGGTGGTGGTTTCACGTACCAAGTGGCCAGATTAGGTCGAATAATGGAATGTGATGCTTCAGTATCTATTGACAGCACTCGCTCTTGCCAATTCACACATTCACCAACAGTAAGGTGGCTCGCTTTTCGGCCAATTTGTGAGACGGAGATTATGGGGTCTTCAACTGCTAGGGAAAGCGCGCGCCCTTTCCTTCTGGCTCGATTTTGTTTAACGACTGACTGAAGACTGGTTCACCTTTTGCAGCTCTGCGTTTGCGTCCTGCCGAAATTTTTGTTCCTGTTGGTTCCACGTTTTAAATGTTAATCAGTGCCATGTTTTTCCCGGCAGCAGTTTGATTATCTTCTTCAGAATTTCATTTGTCTCGTTCGGTGGGTGGGATTTATGAGCTGGTCTACTTAAGACCACCGGCATTTCCTATGTCTTGAGACAGTTTCAGTAAATATTGACCTTGGATTCGCATATGTCTCTCGCACGGAATACATGTCCCGCATACCGTTTATAAATCTCTGGATTTTTACCTTTTCGGGGTGTTCACACCGGTTGGGTTTCCAATTGCCAAGTCAGCGAACCTCCAAATATCAGAAGCGAATTCCTGTAGACTGTCGTTGCCTTTTTGGTAGCGATTCTCCAGCTCCATCTGGTAAATCTGTCTCCTGCGCTCGCCACCATAACGTTTCTCCACCCCGCCCATCAACGCATCGTAACTGTTTCTTTTACAGTCGGGAATAGTCTGCCAGATTTCCGCTTCAGGCAACGAATTGCGCAACGGATTTATCTTCCATGCTTCAATGGTTTGCTGTGGCCGTCTTCTCGTACTAGATCTTAAAGACCTGGAAGGGGATCGTGCCGTCAAAGTATTGAGTTTTTACCTGTCGAGCGTTAGTCGAAGTGGCTGGACGATTCAACTGCAAAATCGGAGGCGATTTTCATGATCATGCACCTAAGCTTCGACATTGTCCTGTTTCTCCTTAATTAGCGCTTCGATTTTATCTTGCCGCTCCTCGATTTTTTCCTGTCTCATGCCAAAGATTCATTCGAAAAATAAAAAAAATTAATTAAATTATAAAATGAAATTATTGGACAGACAAATTATCAAAATTAAGTACAAAAATAATTAAAAGCAGTAAAATTTGTTCCCATTTCACATTTTGCCTAAAGAATATTTTATGGATGTTCCCAAGTGGACATCACCGAAATTAAGATATTTACAGTTATGTATGTGGTCTACTGATTCTAACTGTATATACTATACATACATACATAATTTCACCATGGGTTACTGCGTTTTGCCATCTTTATTGTAATTTTTAATTCTCTAGTAAAAATACTTAAGAAAGATATTTTAACTTCCATACAAGGGTGACTTCTTGCAATATGGCGACTACAATTTTATGACAAAACACTTGTTTCAAAATTTTTTATTTGTGTATGTCACATATGGTACACATTATATGTATGTACGCATGCATAAACAAGTTAAGTGAAGAGAGATGATCTAATTTCGTATCTGTCAACAGATGATAACCAGAAATGTGTACATTAAAAACTATATATATGAGTAGCTTGTACATACCCAGTACAGCGTAGCCCATTCAATTATCTCACAAAAATTAATTTATTTCTACTTATGTAGCAACTAACTTTAAATTTATGTATAATTACCTAGCAGCCTCATTGAGATAAACCAATAGCTTACACTTTTGCTACATATCTTTGCAAATATTTCAATATTAGTTGTGAAATCATCTAACTGTGGGCAATTAACTATTTCAGTACGAAAAGTCATCTATAAAAGAAATATACTGACTGTGTTTTAAAGTAGTTGAAATCATATGCAGAGTCGTATTATACACTGATGCCTAGGACATCGCCATGTTGATGTCAACAGTTCGTTACAAGGAAGACAGTCAGATCTTCAACTAGTTGTGGTGGGTAAAAAACTAGCTGAAGATCGATATCTAAACTAGTTTCTTTCCGTACTGGGTATATATAGCGACAATACTTATCCTCTGAAAACCACTTGTGTGTTCCCAAAATTGTAGAAAGGTTTATATGTACATGAAAACACATTTTTTTTAATCGACTTAAAATAAACAATGCTTAGGAAATGCGACTTCAACGCCAGTGGCATACATAATCCGCTTTGCTTATGGAACAATTTTTACTGACTCATTGAAATTTCACAAAATTAATGTATCGGAAAAAATATTGGGAATATCCCGTACTGATTGAAGATAATCCACAATGTAGTCATCAGCGCGCAATACTTGAAAGCGAAGGCAGAATAAACCCATCATTGGCAGCCAAACAAAACTACCTGCGCCGGATTAGAAGGCTAAATTGGGAAGAATAATAACAAACACTTAAACAAAATATTCAAATATTATGTGTGTGTATCCATACGTGCCTCATTTAAGCATTTCCTTGTTGTGCCTCCAGCAAAAGTATAAGCAGGTAGCTGGCGTTGAAAGGCAGAACTATATTGTGCGAGTTCGCTGTCGATTTCGGCACTTTATTGAAAAGTAACAAAAATTAATGGATTTTTCAGTTCATAAATGGCTTTGACGTTAAAGTGAGATTAAGAGGTAGAAATGCAAATATTGTAATAATTGTGTATATATTGCAGATATAATCTCCAGGGTGAGGTGTGGTGATGAGTTGAGGGCAGAGTAGATCTACTTTCGCAGTATATTATCTATCTATCTATGTACATATGCCTATTCGCTACAGTAACTGTAACCAAATTAAATTGATTTTTCCCCTTTTTTGTTCCATTCCAGAACACCTTTCGTTTAGTCTTATTTAAACGGTAATTTCCGCTTACGTAGAATGGCTGCTGCGAGTGCTGGCCAACAATTGCATCAGCAACAACACCATCAACAACAGCAACAACCACAGCAGGAATTAAATGTGATTGCGCTGCGTCAGCCTTTTCAGCAATCAATGAAACATCATCAACAACAACACCAACAAAATGCACTGACGTTGCAACAACAACAACAAGCATTGCCGACGCAGTTGCAACAACAGCAGCAGCAACATCAACAAGAACAGCAAATGCAGCAACATATACAATTGCAATTGCAGCACATGAATAATGGTCAACAGCAATTGCTGCAACAGCAGCAGCAAGTACAGCTTCAACACCATACACAACAGCCAACGTCACAGCAACTACGCGCCACAAAATATACCACGCGTGTTGCTTCCAATGCGCAAATGTTTGCTCAACAACAACAAATACAGCAGCAGCAACAGCAGCTACAAAGACAGCAGCAACAGCAACAGCTGCAAGCTTTACCAGCTGGTATGGTAAATGGCGCACCAACCCTTGCTGCTTGCAATAGTGCAACACGCGGCGGCCAACAGATAAATTCTTATCAGCCGCAGCCGCAGCCGCAGCAGCACCAGCACAATACTGCAGCAATGCAGCAACATCACCAGCAGCAGTTGCAACAGCAGCAGCAACAACACCAGCAGCAGTTGCAAGCGCAACAGCAACAGCAACAGCAACAGCAACAGCAACAGCAACAACAACAACAGCAACATTTGCAGCTACAGCAACAGCAACATTCGGTGAAAATGATGAATCATAATGTGGTGGTGGCGCCACCTACAATC